GCTCAATTCGCCTCGAAAACACCTGACTTCACGTGAAGCTTGCTTTGTTTTGTTCATTTTGCGGAGGAACTATCCAATCTTGTTGCTTGAGCAATCCCGGTCTTCAAACAAGTCAAGGCGGCTTTCACGCTTCAACGAACTTCGGGCAGCTTCCCTTCAAAATGAGTCAGGGTTTGGTTAGTTGTGGACCTCTCCAATTGTGGGACACAACTCTGCTGCCATTGGAAGGAAAAAGTTCATGTTCGATAGGCCCACGTTCGAAAGAAGACTTGGACCCCTCCGCCCCTGTTGCCAGAATTGGACCTGGAGCAGAAAGAGCCCCTGGACCCTCCTGCATTTACTAGACCATGTGCTAGATCAGTTGCCCTGAGAAAAGCATCGCTGAGTCCGACACTTTTTGGCTGACCAAAGGCATGGCCACAGGGGTCGTCAGGTCACTGAATTTTCTTCAGGCTCCAACTGTTTGGGGGGAGTAAGTAGCAACAATATAAACTTCCTGCGTTCTATTTACTGGACTCACCCAATTTAAAACCAAACCGAGGCAGAGCAACATCTGTTTTTTCAAGATTTCCTGCGGTCCGCTCTCAGGGACCGAACATAGGGGTCATGACCCTTAGGTGGAAACAAGATCTGCAATTCCCTTGTTGCGGGTCAGGCATTTAAAACAAAGAAACAACAAATAAGGATCAAAAACAAAACATCCTCGCAGGATCAAAATAAAACAACTACATGTCAAACAAAAACATACCATCATCTATTGCACAAACATCAGCTTTCGTGAGGCACACAAAAACACAACCCACGAATCTACTTAGTACGTGGCATGCACTACATCTCTTGAAAGGGCTGGCAGGCTGCATGGCCGTGCCATACCACTCAAATTGCATTTCTCAGGAAGCAGCAGGCCTGTCATCGGCTTTATGTTCGAAACAACGATGATTCGGCCAAGGGCGCGCTTCTCCGTAAGGTGTATCTACCGGTGCAACTGCTACTCGTCTCTAGAAAAGCGCGAGAAGGTTGGCCCCCCCCCCCATGATAATCAAAGCAATCATTATTCGGCAAAGAGTGCACTTCTCCCTTAGGTGCGTCCACCGGCGCAACTGCACTATATACATATATATATATATAAACACTAGCGGGGGGGAGGTTGTCGAAACAGTGATGATTCGGCGAAGGGCGCGCTTCTCCGCAAGATAAATCTACCGATTCAACTGCTACTCGTATCTAAAACAAACAAAAAACAGCGGGCGGGTTGGTGGGGGGGGCTGCCGCCCCCATGCTGATAGAAATACTGATGCTTTGGCAAAGGGTGCGCTTCTCCGTCAGGTGCATGTACCGGTGCAACTGCTACTCGTGTCTATACACATTTCTTAATTTATTAAACAACAAAAACAGCGGGGGGGATTGGGGAGGACCCCCCCATGATAAGCAGTGATGATTCGGCGAAGGGCGCGCTTCTCCACAAGGTGCATCTACCGGTGCAACTGCTACTCGTGTCTATATAAAAGTCAAAACACAAAAAAACTGCGAGAAGGTTGGGTGGGGGGCGGCACAGCCTCCCCAATGATTTTAGTGATTCGGCCAAGGGTGCGGTTCTCCGTTAGGTGCATGTGCCGGTGCAACTGCTACTCGTGTCTATATACAAAAAACAACGGGGGGGGGGGGGTGATTTGTCGAGGCCAACCTGGTGTTTATATAGACACCAGTATGCCCCCTCTTGCAGCCTCCAACCATCAACCACTATGCCATCCTTTGCTGCTCGACCTATTGTTTGACTCATTCTGTGGTAAATACACTCCAATCCACATGGAATGACCCGGGTCCTCTCAAGAACATGAAGGTTCCTACGTTCAGCGCAAAACCTGTGATTTAGATCTTCTTATTGTTCACTTTCAAGCGCAAAATGCAAGATGAAAACGTTGGCCCAGGCTGAACCCCCGCAAAAAAATATGGGTGTCTCTTCTTTGCTGGTACCCCTTTTTGCGTGGTTTTAAAGTAAGCCCAACGGAAACCAGTTTTTGTGCGGGGCCCTAAAGAAGACTAACCATGGACACCCAGATCACCGGGTTTCATCATCGATCGCCAGGACGAGAGGACCTCAATGCTGAGGGACCAAAGGCCGGGCCTGGTTTTGTTCCGCACCTCAAACCCATCTACGGTTCCCCACTAGGTCCAGTAGAGAGGTTGGAATAAGGGTACCAACTTTTTTCTGTAGTCTATTTTAGTACGGGAACCCTCCCCCAAAAAAGGGTAAAAGGGCGCTACTGGGGGACCTAGCTACCGTTCCCCATGTACTTTTCGATTGTCCGCCGTTGGGTTTCCCGAGCACTGTTGACCCCCGTAATGAATTTCTAGGGGGGTGGGGGGGCCCCTCCAGAAGTGGTCTGACTTCCCACTAAATCCAGGGACACCCCCCTATTGATAAACTGGGGTTGACTAATATGGAATCAACATTAAGACAAAGAAAGGACAGTTTGCGCCAAAGTTTCTTAAGAAAGAACTTTAAGTTTCTCAAGAAACAACTTTAAGTTTCAGTGGACACTTTGCGCCAAAGTCCCCTCCGGGGAAGAGCCAAAAGACCTCCCCACCGATTTTTTTTCCGCCGAGCAGCGCCCGCGAGTCGGCCCAACGCCACTCCGAAGAGTGGAACCTGTTCGACGTAAGCATTTCGCCCCAGCTTTTTTTTCGGGGCTCATGGGATACACAACCACCTCACCCCAAAAAAACCTGGAATACATGGTTAACCTGTTGGAACCTTATGGACCAAGTTAGGGAAGACTTGTGCATGGACTCAATGCCACATCATCTACCAAAGTTGGGCACGCCAACGCATCCAACCGGAACTTTCCGATCTGATCAGAAGAGCAGTAGACTAGACATTTGGAGCACCGCGATGCTAGGTGTCTTTAATAAACATGTCGGCCACCCCGTCGCACAAGACTTGCAACGCATGTTGCGGCACCCCAGGAAGACCAGACCGCCAAGTTTGAACAGCGCCCCCCGAAATTCTTTAGTAAATAGTGGCATAGTGGCATGAGAAAACCGAGCCAGATTGCCGAAAGCGGTTGGAAGAGCACACATTCCCTAGGCCTGCTTGTCGTTGGCCGTGTGCCCAGCGTATCTCTGCCCTTTAGGACACAGGGCGAGAGTTGCGGGCAAAAAACGCCGTCACTGGCAAGATGGCGCGCCCTGAGGCCATAGATTCCACTTCTTACCAGGGATTACCGCCCGCGGGTACACCCACGGTACGGCTACAAACCGCTTGGTCTGATTCCCACATCCAGGACGATCCTATCTCCCTCCAGCCCGAGCACCATGCGTCTTGTCTGCCCGGGGGTCGGCAAGACTTTCAGTCAACCTTGCAATCTCTGGCAGTTCAACTTGTGAGGCTTTAGTTCTACACCTCCAGCTGGCATAGCATCTGAAGCGTGTTCAGCATGCATAATCGGTGATCCAAAGGTTGGGCAACTCTCTTCACTGCCCAAAATCTCTGTTTCAAGAATCTACTTGAAAGGGACCACAAGAAACGCCCAGGCATGAAGATAAAACCGGCCATGCGTCTTCTGACCTTTAACAGAACACAGGGCCAGGTAACACATACTCAGCATCAATGTGGAGATGTCTTAAGATCTGGCACTCCGCCTCCAATTCCTCTTGAGAAACTCAATTGTTCATTTCGGATTATTTCGGAGAACCTCAACGCTGATCGCGGTTCCCCGATAGTGGCAAACTGAACTATTTGAAGTGTCTCGAATGGTCCTGCGGATTAACCTCAGGTCGACACTACCTGAACAATCTCTGTGTGTGCAAGTCCTTTCGGATATAACCAAAACCAAGGCTAGTTCAGCATTGTCCATAGTCCATTTCGAAGGGACTAGGGAACTCACTAAAATTCAACCAGCAAAGCCATGAAACAAAAGCTAAATTGTCCTATGTCCTTCAATGAAACGGCTTATTTGACCGCTCAAGTAGGTTATAGGTATGTGTAAAGATATGGGAACACTCAACATTTGTACTTCTCTTTGTGGTTAACCTTTCAACTATCCCAAAAGCGTACCCTGGCCAAACAACACAACCCGAACGCTGGCCCAAATCTGGGGTAGAACATAGCATGCTCAAATTCTGATCCATGTTCAGTAAGCTCGGAAACTCAACTCCTGAGTGGACAGGCCAGAACAAGTCCAAACTTGTTGGCTTGTACTAAAATGGTGCAGACCCACAAAGATTTAAGTTCATGAACTCGGGTGAGGGAGTACATTTTTTGTCTTGAAGGAGGCCCTGGCTACCTTTAAAACAGCCCGGACGGGAGGGACCTCCAAAAACAAACAAACCTAAATAAGCAGAGCACCAGCCGCGCATTGGCCCTTTTAGTCGTAGGTAGTTCTGGGACTCTAGCAACACCTGAACAAACCATTGTAGCCATGCATGTACAACTCAGCAATATTCAGCCCTCTGCAAAAGGTTGACTTGTTGCTAGCTGAACAGGAACATGAAGGAAAGCCAAAAAAGCAAAGGGTGAAACAGGTCAGTTAAGTTTAAGTATGGCAATGCTAAGTTTTGTGTATGGTGTTGAAGAGAACCCAACAGGAAGCCAACGAGTTTGGAGCATGAACCGATTCCTATTCGAGAAAAACTCATACAGAGGTAAAACCGAATGGGCAAAAACAGGCGCAATTAGTTGCTGAGCGATCCGGCCCCGATGAGGCAGTATAAGGCCACGAAGATGACTTTGTCGTCCGCCCCCTCGATTGGGTCGAATCAAAACGATGGATTCGGCAAATTGGTGTCACATATTGATTCCACCACCTATGCACGAGAACATCATGGACAAATCCACCACCTATGCATGAGAACGTGATGAACCCCTATGCATGAGGACATGATGAACCCCTATGCATGAGGACATGCTGGACGCAATCCACCTTGGCCAACATAAACCACCTATGCAACAGGACATGCTGAACTAAATCCACCACTTATGCAAAAGGACATGCTGGACAAAATCCACCACCTATGCATGGGGACATGCTGAGCAAAATCCACCACCTATGCATAAGGACGTGATGGACAAAACCCGCCACCGTGCGCGAGGACATGCTGGACAAAATCCACCACCTATGCATGAGACATCATGAACAAATCCACCACGCATTGCCGCGTGCATGGGGACATCATGGACACAAACCAGCTCCTGTGCATGAGGACGTGACGGACGAAATCCACCACCAATGCATGAGAACATGACGGACCAAATCCACCACCTAAGATGCATGAAGAAAACCAACATTGCGATAAACCGCCAAGAGGTGGGCGAGGATTTTCTAGACGTGGGTGTTCTCAAATTGATGGACTGAGGCGATTGCAGTCCTTCCGCTTTCATGCAGTTGCTGAGGAAGTCTTAGGACGGAGAAGCCAAGGAACTCCAACCCGAAGAAGCCCGCTCCCGTTGACATGTTACCCTCATTGAACCCACCCCACAAAGAATGCGCAGCCATAAACCTACCCCGATTAGGAGTGCCTTGTTGTGGGTACCCTTTCCGGGCCGCTTAGCAGGGAACCCAAGGGAAAGCCACCAATTGTTTCAGACAGGGGTCCCAGATCTTAAAGCACACGCACACAGTTTCGACCAGTGACCCAAATCGAGGAAAACAATCATCAATAATTGAAGCATTCTCTTGTTGGGTTTGACCGACCATTCCTGGAGCCAAACCCACCCCGAAAACACATCTTCGTGCTCGGACGGGCCTGAAGTGAAACCGGGCCGGGCCCATTTTAGTTAGACCTTCTCCAGAAAAACTGGTCAAGTGTCCACCGTGGTTGTTCTTTTAGTGTTCGTTCTTTCAGTTTCATGGGGTTTCCTCAAGGGAAGAGCTCATGGAAGCGCTTTAAGCTCAGCACACCAAATGCTCCGTTTCCCAATGGGAAGGTTTTGCTTCAGCTCGAGACGGGTGCCTAACTGCTCCGGACATAGGCGGATGACGCCACTGGGAGAAAATGGCCATGTGTCAAAATCCAAATCGTACCCCCAGTGAACATCCCAATCCCCACGAAAATAGGCTCTAAAATGGGTGGTGCACCGAAAACCCCAAAGTGGGATCCCATTGGTTTTGACCCACATAACTGGATGGCACTTCTTTCTATAAACGCACTTCCGCGGAGTTTGTTTTCGTTGACAAACTCCGAAGTTGTTGCGGAAACGTCGAAACTGGTGACGGTGATCCAAGTGTCTGCCAGGAAGAAGGGAGTGAGAATTTATGGTGTTTCTTCGTTTTCAGGGGACTAGCAAAGTGGAAAGCAATCCATGATTGCATTTGCTTCCTGCGCCATGGTCAAAACTATATAGGCGAACAGGGTTCCAAATTTTCACTAGCCCAAAGTAGACTTAAACCCAGTTGATTTCTGTTCAAGAGGTTTCCCTGGGATTGAGTCCCAGATGTGTTGGGTTTTCCATGAAGACGTTTCCACACCCGTCTTTGATAACTCGACTCAAAGCCACCGACTTTGGGATCTGAGCTGTGACCCGTTCAATGGGGGATCTGCCACCGCGAAATCCACCCGAACCCCGGCCACACCAACTCCGATTTCCCACCATGGGTTCTCCATTTGCTTAAGCCCCGAGGAAAGAACAAACACAGATTTCCAGTAGTGATAGATTCCCTGTACATGTTGAAGCCAACCGGAGAAAAAACACAAAACTACTGATTTAGTGGAAAGAACAGATCTTCAGTATGATGAGAGTTAGGCCCAGTTCTAGAATGTATATTTTATTGTTTGCTTCACTTTGAGTCACTGGGAAAATGAAAAAATGTATCCTAAGTCTACCTCAGTTGAGTCTTAGATGGGCTCCCGTTCACGTAAGGCAATACCTCCCCGATGCGCCCGGCCACTGCAAGGAGTCCTTTGCTCCCCCGCTCGCTTTCTCGCCTCGGAACTTCCCGAGGCTTCGGCATCGCAGGTGGCCTGCAGCCCCGCGGTGCTCAGTGCCGCCACCGAGAAGTAGAGGCCCTCGGGCGGGCGAAGGCGACCGGAGATCTAGAAAAAAATCTAGGGGGACCTTCCCCATTCTTTCCAGGGATCCTTCTTTCTGGGAAACCTCCGGAAACTCAAGGAAAACGGCCGGTTTGTTGAAAGAACGATGGTTAAAAAGAATGGGGAACCAACCCCTAGAACAATGGGCTCAAAGGAAAAAGTCGACAGGCAGAAAGGGGCTCGCGATCAAAGGTCTGGTGGGAGTCGACAGCGAAAGGGTTGTTTCCGCCCAAAACTGGTTGTTGTTCTTGTTGTTCTTGTTGTTCTTGATGTTCTTGTTGTTCTTGTTGTTCGTTGTTGTTCGTTGTTCGTTGTTGTTGTTGTTGTGGTTGTGGTTGTTGTTGTTGTTGTTGCTGCTGCTGCTGCTGCTGCTGTTGCTGTTGCTGTTGCTGTTGCTGTTGCTGTTGCTGTTGCTGTTGCTGTTGCTGCTGCTGCTGCTGCCGCTGCCGCTGCCGCTGTTGCTGTTGCTGTTGCTGTTGCTGTTGCTGTTGCTGTTGCTGTTGCTGTTGCTGTTGCTGTTGCTGTTGCTGTTGTTGCTGTTGCTGTTGCTGTTGTTGTTGTTGTTGTTGTTGTTGTTGTTGTTGTTGTTGTTGTTGTTGTTGTTGTTGTTGTTGTTGTTGTTGTTGTTGTTGTTGTTGTTGTTGTTGTTGTTGTTGTTGTGTTGTGGTTGTTGTTGTTGTTGTTGTTGTTGTTGTTGTTGTTGTTGTTGTTGTTGTTGTTGTTGTTGTTGTTGTTGTTGTTGTTGTTGTTGTTGTTGTTGTTGTTGTTGTTGTTGTTGTTGTTGTTGTTGTTGTTGTTGTTGTTGTTGTTGTTGTTGTTGTTGTTGTTGTTGTTGTTGTTGTTGTTGTTGTTGTTGTTGTTGTTGTTGTTGTTGTTGTTGTTGTTGTTGTTGTTGTTGTTGTTGTTGTTGTTGTTGTTGTGTGTTTGTTGTTGTTGTTGTGTGTTGTTGTTGTTGTTGTTGTTGTTGTTGTTGTTGTTGTTGTTGTTGTTGTTGTTGTTGTTGTTGTTGTTGTTGTTGTTGTTGTTGTTGTTGTTGTTGTTGTTGTTGTTGTTGTTGTTGTTGTTGTTGTTGTTGTTGTTGTTGTTGTTGTTGTTGTTGTTGTTGTTGTTGTTGTTGTTGTTTGCTGTTGCTGTTGCTGTTGCTGTTGTTGTTGTTGTGCTGTTGCTGTTGTTGTTGTTGCTGTTGCTGTTGCTGTTGTTGCTGTTGCTGTTGTTGTTGTTGTTGTTGTTGTTGTTGTTGTTGTTGTTGTTGTTGTTGTTGTTGTTGTTGTTGTTGTTGTTGTTGTTGTTGTTGTTGCTGTTTGTTGCTGTTGCTGTTGCTGTTGCTGTTGCTGTTGCTGTTGTTGTTGTTGTTGTTGTTGTTGTTGTTGTTGTTGTTGTTGTTGTTGTTGTTGTTGTTGTTGTTGTTGTTGGTGTTGATTTTCGTGAAGTTGTTGGTGTTGGTGGCGTTGATGTTGTTGTTGGTGTTGTTGTTGTTGTTGCTGTTGGTGTTGTTGTTGGTGGTGTTGGTGTTGGTGTTGGTGTTGGTGATGGTGTTGGTGTTGGTGTTGGTGATGTTGTTGGTGTTGGTGGCGTTGATGTTGTCGTTGGTGTTGGTGTTGGTGATAATGTTAGTGTTGTTGTTGGTGTTGATGTTGGTGTTGGAGTTGGTGTTGGAGTTGGTCTTGGTGCTGGTGCTGCTGCTGCTGCTGCTGCTGCTGCTGTTGTTGTTGTTCTTGTGGTTGCGGTTGCGGTTGTGGTTGTGGTTGTTGTTGTTGTTGTTGCTGCTGTTGTTGCTGTTTTGTGGTTGTGGTTGTGGTTGTGGTTGTGGTTGTGGTTGTGGTTGTTGTTGTTGTTGGTGTTGGTGGTGTTGGTGTTGGTGTTGGTGTTGTTGTTGTTGTTGTTGCTGTTGTTGCTGCTGTTGCTGTTGCTGTTGCTGTTGCTGTTGCTGTTGCTGTTGCTGTTGCTGTTGCTGTTGCTGTTGCTGTTGCTGTCGTTGTTGTTGTTGTTGTTGTTGTTGTTGTTGTTGTTGGTGTTGGTTTTCGTGAAGTTGTTGGTGTTGGTGGCGTTGATGTTGTTGGTGGTGTTGTTGTTGTTGTTGTTGTTGCTGTTGGCGTTGTTGTTGGTGGTGTTGGTGTTGGTGTTGGTGTTGGTGTTGGTGTTGGTGTTGGTGTTGGTGATGTTGTTGGTGTTGGTGGCGTTGATGTTGTCGTTGGTGTTGGTGTTGGTGATAATGCTGGTGTTGTTGTTGGTGTTGATGTTGGTGTTGGGGTTGGTGTTGGAGTTGGTCTTGGTGCTGGTGCTGCTGCTGCTGCTGCTGCTGTTGTTGTTCTTGTGGTTGCGGTTGTGGTTGTGGTTGTGGTTGTGGTTGTTGTTGTTGTTGCTGCTGCTGTTGTTGTGGTTGTGGTTGTGGTTGTGGTTGTTGTTGTTGTTGTTGTGGTTGTTGTGGTTGTTGTTGTTGCTGTTGTTGTTGTTGTGGTTGTTGTTGTTCTTGTTGTTGCCGTTGCTGATGGTGTTAGTGTTGGTGTTGGTGTTGGTGTTGGTGTTGTTGCTCTTCTTGTTGTTGTTCTTGTTGTGTCTGTTGCTGTGTTTGTTGAGCGTTGTTGGTCGTTATTGGCCGTTGTTGGTCGTTGTTTCTGGGCGTCGTCGTCGTCTTGGTCGCGGTCTTTGTCACTGTCGTCTTGGTTGTCGTCGTGGGTGTTGTTGTTGCTGTTGCTATTGCTGTTGTGGTTGTGGTTGGGGTTGTGGTTGGGGTTGTGGTCGTGGTTGTTGTTGTTGTTGTTGTGGTTGTTGTTGTGGTTTGTTGTGGTTGTTGTCGCTGCTGTGGTTGTGGTTGTGGTCGTGGTTGTTGTCGTTGTTGTTGTGGTTGTTGTTGTCGTTGTCGTTGTGGTTGTCGTTGTTGTGTCTGTTGCTGTGGTTGTTGATCGTTGTTGATCGTCGTTGGTCGTTGTTGGTCGCTGTTGGACGTTGTTGATTGTTGGTTGTGGCGTCG